GTCGGGGGGGGTTCCCAGCGAAGGGGGCGGTGGTACAGCAGAGTATTCGTGGTATGCAGTGAAGGAGGAACCGCAGCAGCCTGCCAGGGCCTCGGCCGTACAGGCTGATCGGGGATTCCTGTGCTGCTCTGACACAGCAGAGCGGTGCCGAGTGCCTTTGTAACTTCACTGCTCGCCCACGTGCACGTCAAGCCGTGTCTGAATCGGCAGGGAAGGAGAGGGGTCTTCTCTAGGCAGACAACTGCGGTGTCGTCAGCTGCGTAATTATAGCTGAGGCTGACGCCTTGCCAGCACCCCCGTTGTAAAGACAGCCTGGGCGATCGGCTTTGCAAGGAGCAGGACCAGGGTGTAACAGGAGAGTGTGTTCAAAGCGTAGACCTGCACTCACAGGTTTGCAAAGCAAGAGCCTCTGCTTTGGAGCAATATGAGAAAGCATCTCTATTGTTTGCTGGAAAGAAAAAAGAGAAAAAAAATCATTCAAATGTTAAACTCAATAAAAGAAAAAAACCAGTGCATTTATCTTTAAATAAGATAACAGCTGATTGCAAACGTCTCAGCTTGTTCTTAAATTAAGAGAGTAAATTATCCTGGAATTAAAGCCAGGTCTCTGTACATGAGAAGTTACTTGAGACGGAACCTGTCTGTATCCCAGCCACCCTTCCTTGTTCTCCGGGCTTTTACAGCCCGTGGCACCTTCTCCTCCGTACGCCCGTGCTGTGCTCAGGTTACGCGGCCGTTCGGGTCCGTGTCAAGTACCGTGTGCTCCCAGCTGGGAGACAAGGGGCGGCGTACAGCGGTGCGGACGGAGCAGAGGAGCTGCTGTTGCCGGCGTATCCACCAGAGATGCTTGGTCCGACGGTGTGTCAGTCCACGGTGTCCTGGCCGTAGCAGTTCTCTGCGGTGGATGGGGCGAGCGCAGGCGGATCAGGACGGTTGGCTTCACCGAGGCAGCGACACGGTGCGGTCCCTCTCTCAGGTCATGGCTTCGTTTCACAAACTGTACCCCCAGCTGGGGACAGCAGTGATGAGGGCACCGAGTTTCTCTGGTAATTAAAAGGGGAATCTCTACATCCCCAGGAATTAGGACAAGATGAGCAAGCAGCTTCTTCTCATGCTGAGCAGAAGCAGGTTCGTGAATAGCTGTTGCAGCACCATTTGTCTCCCTTTTTGTTAATGGCTAACAGCTTAAAATAAACAGTGCTAGACTATGCATGTACAGGTAACAGAAAATCAGTTCCTGCCCCAAAGAGTTTATTTTGTGAACCAGGAAGCAGGCCCTCACTATTTCAGCAAAATCACCGTACCATGACCGTGGGGTGAATTGTTGACTGCAACTTAAAAGCTTGCATTCATCCGAGCCCGTCGGCAGGGAGGTAAAGTTGTCGTAGAGCCTCTTCTCATGTGCCCGTTTTGCGCGCCGTGATCCGGGAGGGCCGCAGACCCGGAGGCACCCGCCTGGTCTCGGCTGGGAGACGGCGCCGCTCAC